ACCCAGACTGCTCTGCACTACTCAGCTCATCCTCAGCCTCACACTTTGTATTTTCAGTTCCAGCAGATTCACTGAATTCTTTTCTACAGATTTTTCTGTCCCTCAAGGACTGCAGCCTTCAAGTCCCACCTGCGCCGATGGCTCCCCAGGATGTGTGTGTATGTGTGTGACTGTGTGTCTATGTGTGGCTCTGCCATCACTGCTGGCCACCTGGACCCAATGCCAGGCTGCCTGCATCAGAGAGGCCCATACCCAGGTCCACCCCCATGTACCAAATGCCCATTCTTGTCTGGCAGCCTCAAAAACCATCGTCCACAGGTGTCCATCTCTTGGGGCTCCTTATCTGACTTCAGGGTGGAGCCCTGGGCAAGTCCATCCAGACCGTGAAAGTGCTCCTGGCCATACAACGAGCCAAAAGGACACCCTGGTCATCCTGGCCAGGCCGGCAGAGTCCATGGAAACCCCAGGCCCTAGCTGGAGTCACCTCCAGCTGGCTGGTCTCTCAGCCCAGGCCTCCAGGTCCGGGGGTGTCGGCCTAGGAGAGACAGACGAGTTATGGGCAGTGAGGATGCGACCGACTTGGGGAGATGGTAGCACAGAGGCATGTACCTACTCACTGGGTCCCCAACCAGCCACCATGGGATGACCGTCACACCTCCAGAAAGGAAGCCTGAGCGGACACGTGAAAAATCCACATCAGCACAACACCAGCCCCTCCCACTGAAACACCCCGGTTTCAAACGCACGGAAATAGCATTTGATTTATTTCAAATTACAAAACATGTGCTCAAACTCTCCCTCCCTGAAGATTTTTTTCTTCAGGGAAATAATGGAACCTAACAGACCTGTCTTTAAATAACTACCTGAGACACAGGAAGTGGATCTCAGATGCCTGGTAACAAACACACAGCCGCCAGCACCGCAGCAAAACCCGCTTGAGACCGACCAGCACCATTCAGGGCTTTTAACCCACTGCTGTAGGAGTCTGTACACTGGGGAAAATTGCCCCTTAGAAGCATTGTAATTTAAATATCAAAGCTGATTTAATGTCATGGATGTTGCAACTATTACTGCAAAACTGACACCTGCATCACCCTGAGTGACACGGGGCCAAGGGGATTATGGGGCAGAGGGTGGATGGAAAGCAGCCACGACCACACAGACTCACCCAGGACACGCTGAGCATGTGGGTTCCGGGCATTGGGCCCGTGGGGATGTGCCCAGTGGACAGGCGTCTGGCCGGCAGCCCTCGCGTCTTACCTGGGCTGGGGAGATGGCCGGCTCCCTGGGCTCCGTCTGGCCGGTCACCAGAGCGGGCATCCGGGGCTCTGAGTGCAGGAGGGCGAAGGGGCCGGAGGGAGGTGACTTGGGCTGGTGCCAGGTCCTGGGGACACAGGAAACGAGTCTCACCCGTGTGAACAGACGCCAGCTGGCGGGCTGTGGAGAGTTCGGGGAGCGTTGTCCTTGGCCATCCTGCAGTGAGCCGCACGCTGCCATGTCATGAGGCCTGAGTCTCGCTGGACGAGGTTTCTATCTGCTTGCCACTCCCAATCATCTGGGTCTCCACACGTGCCTTGTCTGGGGGGTGGTCTGGCTACGATGGGATAGTCTACCCAGAAAGTCAGAACCCGCGGCAAGGATACAGCATGCCCAACCGTGCCTGGAGGAAGGATCTTCTAGAAAGTCCTTCTAGGTGTGTCAACCTGGCTATTTACCTGTAAGGGTGGTAATACCTAAGTCAAACGCCCTTTCATAGGAGAGTATTTAAGGTCCCATATCAAGCCAGACTCAAGTGAAGGTCCTTAATTCATGTAAACACCAGAAGGAAATATTCTTTAAACCACAATCAGAACAAAACCCAGTTGCTTCCCTGACAGACATCGGGGGCAGTGCACGGAGAAATGTGGGCAGGGGGGCCTGTGACTGGTGGCCCCATCCAGGGCAGACCCCGCCTGCTGCCAACCCAGGTCTGCGTTCTCTCCTATAGGAGCACATCCTTCCATAAAGACAGGACGGCACTGCCACCGCTGTGAGAGATAGATCCTCATGTGTTCCCAGTAGCCACGACGGCGACACGCACAGGACTTCGGGGTTTCTGGGAGGTTGGGGACGCACCGCCCTCAGGCCTCGGCCTCCAGTGACCAGGGCAATCGCTTCATCTCCAGTTCGTTCCCAAGAAATAAGGGTTACTTGTGTTCTCATGGCATTTTTCAAAGTCCCTCCCAGATCAACACACACCCACAAACACGGCTCGGGAAACAGCACGTTTGGCACCACAGAGGTGCTTGCCATGGTTTCTATTCAGTGAACAGAGACTTTTAACCAGTGGAATGTCAGCCTCCTACTGCAAAAGTAATAAAAGCAAAAAAAAAAAAAAAAAACAACTTAAACTGAAGCAAAACGAAAAGCACGCAAGTCCTCTCACGGAGAAATCAGTTAAACACTGGAGATCCACCAACGAAACCATCTGTGGAGCTTAACTGCCAAGCGAGACGTGATCGGACCTGGGAGAACAACTGAACACGGTTTTCTTGGGGGCTCCAGAATTGTCCAGAAAGGACCTTCAGTTACTGCCTGCAGATCTGATGGTTCTCTTAATTAAACATGTGCCGATACCACCCCTTGCTTCTGCAACACTGCGTGCCTGGCCAGCCACACTGACCACAGGGCTTTCCTCTGGAGACTGGGCTGACCTGACAGGGCCCAGGAGTCCCACTAAGCACACCACACACCATGGAGCCACCCTTGTCAGACACCATGATGAAGACGTGCCCTTCCCCCGCTGCTCCAGCCATGAGCTATGGCTGCTGGGATGTCAGCCCAACAAATCCCCCAACATCACAAAAGGCTTAGGCCCAGAAAAATCTCATCAACAAGCACCTCGAGGAACCTGGGGGTTAGAGTCGGGAAAGAGACCCTACAGCCCCCTCATACCAGACCAGGAGTGAAGGACTCCCAGCACCGCGGCACAGGGGCCCACTTTCCTTCTGGGCCTCCCTGGAGGAAGTGTGGCAGTCTCTGTGACCATGAGCTTGAGGAGGGGGTTCTCCACCTGGGACCTCGGGTAGCAGAGCCTCTGCATTGCTATCAGTGGTGCCCAGTGTGAAGCCATGCTTCCCTTCCAATGTGTTTTTAGGTCCTCAGTGCACACTCCATCCCATGCTCCCCAGGATGGTGAGCTCTCTGGGGGTGCAGGCCCATGCTGGGCGGCACCCAGGAGGGACTCCCCATCTGCACAGGGGACGGGCCCATCCCTCCTGTGACCACATGGTTCAGCACAGAAGGGCTGCCCCCACCTCCTGGGGCCTCTGACACACAAGGTTCATGCACCAACTAAGAGAACCCCAAAACAAGCCAGAACAACTGTTCTGCCCTGCAGGGGATGTCCCCACCTCCCCACACCCTACCCCAAGCTGCTCCTGCCACGACACCCACAAAGCTGCCCAGCTATCCCTTCAGCTCCTGTGGACTTGCCAACTCTAAACCCCAGATGCTGCAGACGGCCTGGGACTACTTCCTTAACTACCGGTTTTTGCCAACACGTTCAGGGTTTGATCTGAGCGGGAAACAGAATGACATTGGGGAGCGTTTGTCAAACGGACTTGGCTTATGAGCCCACATTTTATAGTCACAACAGCTGTGTAAACGACACTATTCCCATTTCTCAGATGCAAAGAAGTGAGACCTAAACATGTTTTCAAAAGTGTGTTCATCAGCCTTGGGGGATTCAGCCCTGGGTCTGACTTCATAGCCAGGTTCTTCGACAGCCCCAACAGCCACCTTCCTCGGATTCTGGTAGGAGAAGCAGTGAGAACGGGCACGCTGCTCTCCACGTTGGTCTTTATTAGCCACAAGCAATTTCCATCACAGACACTCAGGATATTTAAGTGCTCGTGAAAGCAAAGTTGTGAAGATATTGTTTTTAAAATTACAGTGAAAATTAAAGACACTCTTCCCAGACCCCCAAAACCGGCTGCAGCTTTTCCTTTGTTTCCTTCAGTGGTGCTCAGGGACCACACAAAGCCCTGCCAGCCACACACGCTGGACTGTAGAACCCTGGACCGGCCCATTCCCCACACCCTCTGCACTCAGCACTGCCCTTTCTGGGGTGTGTCATCCTGCCCCGAAAAGGGAAACGGGGCCACACCTGGCTCTTCCTCACGGACACCAACCTGCCAGGGTGTCTGGAAACATAGTCACGACGGTCCCCTGCGCACCCAGGACAAGGGATGTACAGAACACTTGAGCCTAGGGGGAGCAGCTCCCGCCCAGGGTGGCCCCCTCCCCGGGGACTCAGCCAGCACCGCTGTACCTTATGGGCTTCTTGGGTCACTCCGTCATTTGCTTCCGAGCAACTGGAACTCAGCAGGAGACATTTAAGGTGTAAGCACAACCCCCAAATCCTTTCCACATCTGAGGCGGGGGCAGCAGCACTGCCCGGTGAGGGCGGATCCGCACGCTGGCCACGCCCCAGGTAGGACGAGGCGGTGCCGGCGGGGCGTGGCCAGCAGAGGGAGCCAGAGTTCGGCCGTACGGAGGCCGCCAGTCCTCCGCAAGGCACAGCGGTGCACTTGTCAGCTGATCAGGGCTTAGGGTTAGATGCATGATTTCAGGGCTTCCCAGGCGGCGCAAGTGGTAAAGAACCTGCTTGCCAATTCAGGAGACATAAGAGACGCGGGTTCAATCTCTGCCATGGCAACTCACACCGGTATCCTTGCCTGGAGAATCCCATGGACAGAGGCGCCTGGCGGGCTACGGTCCACGGGGTCGCAAAAAGTCGGACACGACTGAAGCAACTTAGCAAGCACGCACGCAAGCCTCGACTTCAAGTATGAAACATTCGGATAAGCACACGGCTGCTTCCCTCCCAGTGCCCCCGACAGCCCCCCATCGCAGGCCCCGCGACCCATCGCGACCCCCACGTTCGCACAGCACCCTCAGCACCACATCATGGGCTGAGGCTCCTCACTCCCGCCGACAGTGGGCGCCGCGGCACTTACGGGACAGGGAATGGGCACCCTTGGGCAGGTACTCCAGCAGCAGGGAGCTGTCTTCCCCGAGCACGTCCGCCTTCAGGGCCAGCAGGCTGTTCTTACTCATGAGCGCCGCCCGCAGGTTGGCCACGGCGGTAGCCTGATGCAACGCGTCGTCCTTCTCGGGGGTGAGGGGCGCGCCTAGGTAGCTGCCTTCTCCTCCCAGGAGCCCCTCGTCCACATGCGCGAAGAACTCTGGCCTCTCCCCTCGGCTGTCCGAGCTGCTGGCTTCAGCGATGGTCAAGTCCGCGTCTGGGGACGAAAACACACGTTAGAGACGTTGCAGGCGACTCGAGGACCTTCCGAACAGCCAGCAGGCAAACGTAGGAGAAGCTGGAGCCAGGAGCTTCCCAGCCCCCAGCTGCTTGTCATCAAGCCTGATCCCGTCCTGCCATGAGGTCTCAGGACAGCGGTGATGTCACAGCCAAGACTTCGGATGGGGTTCAACCCAGAACACGGCGGGTGGGGGAGGGAGGAGCCCACCCAGGATAAGGGGTGTGCTCTGAGTATCTGGGTAATTTCATCTCTCAGAGAAGGGGTGACCGTCAGAATGGATCAAAGAGCCTAAAGGACACAACCCTTAGGAAAGCTCCAGCCTCAGACTGGGCCACAGTCTCAGTGGTGACACCAAGGTGAGCACTGAAACAGATTAAACTGGACTTTGTCAAAACCAAACCTTCGGAGGCCTCCAAGGACACCGTCAGCAAAGTGCGAGGACAGATCAGGAATAAATCTCTGCAAACTGTGCCCAGACATGAGATTCCACCCAGACTCCGCAAAGGAACCTCAGAGCTCAGTAAGAAGAGAGACACCCCGGTTTCAAAGATATTTGAACAGATACTTGTCCAGAGAAAATGCATAAATGGCCAGTGGGGGTGCTCAATGTCATTTGTCATCAGGGAAATATAGCTTGGCACCAGGAGGCCCCTCACTCCTACCAGTGCCCACTGGGCGTGGGGTCCTGGAGCCCCCCAGGCTGCTATAAGAATATAAGTGATGTAGCCTCAGTGTAGGAGCTCAGGTCCTCAAAAGGCTGGATATGGAGTGGCCTCACGGCCAGCATTCCCATTGGTAGGAGGATGTCCATGCTCAGAGTGACAGCACCCGTCAGGGTCAGAGGCAGAGCAGCCCGAGTGCCCGCCTACAAGTGAGGGACAAACAGGGCGTGGTCCATCTATGCAGTGGAATGTAATTGAGCATAAACAGGAATGACGCTCTGGCACAGGCCACAAGGCGGATGAATCTCGACATGCTATATTCAGTGAAAGCGAAACAAACACTGTCCTCTGATTCTGCTCACGTGAAATACTCAGAGAGGGAAACCCATGGAGAATGAAGAAGACTGGGAGTTGCCAGGGACTGGGGGAGATGGGGGAATCTTGGGTGACTGCAGATGCCCGAAGATGGGCCAGTGCCAGACGGACCCCAGGGAAAGCTGCTGCCTGGCCAGGGCTCCCCAGGAACAAGTGGCCACTGGAGAAATCAAAATAGAAACAGGAAAGCAAGCTCCTTCCCGAGACAGAGGCAAGTAGGGGAGGAGGGATGGGCCGTGTTCTCCCACCCCTGCACTGTCCTGGGGGGTGGCGCTGGTGGTTGGAGGGAGACCGGGTCACCTCAAATGTGAAGTCGTGGGACAGAAATGCAAGCTGGTCCCTGAAATGACAGGTCCCTCCTCAGACCTGGGAAGCAGGGGCCGAGTGGAAATCAGAGACTTGGACCAACTTGAGCATCATGCCCCTGATATGGACTCGGCCTCACACACCTGGGAAGTGGGGGCAGCAGGCACCAGGCCGTACCACAGGGGACCTCCACCTGGACAGGTCTAGCCCAGGGATCCAGACGCTCGGAGCCACCATCCAGGGACCCTTCCAGCTACTGCCAACAGAGGTTTCTGAAGGATATTTTGTTTTTTTCAAACTATAAACCTTTTTTATATTTTTTTTTGCCAGTTCTTCAATTTTATATCAGCACTGACTTTGCACTGCTAGCCACTAACTGTAGGGATTAAATAAATTGAAATGAAGGCTTTGCCTTTCTTGGCCTGGCTCCTGGAAGAGACTTAGGTGGTTCTCATTCCCGGGGCTGGAAGGGCCAGGATCCAGGACTGACAGGGTGGTGGGAGCCTGCTTCCAGCTTGCAGACAGCCTCTTCCCCACTCTTCTTGCCCCAGCCAGTGTGTGGAGGGCCTCTGATTATCCCAAGGACTTGCTTGCTGGCCCCACCTCCAAACACAAGGATTCAAGATATGGATTCTGGGGACAGAAACATTCAGCTCACAACAGGCTGAAAACTAAAAAAACACCAGATTTCAAAAACAAAATTTATTGAAATTATATTAACAATTTAAGTTCAAAAGCTTGTCAAAGAAATTAAGATAAGCTGAGAGATTCCTGCCACATGTGAAAAGCTAAAGGCTGGGTTTTGGGGAAGGATATCTGGCAAGTGAGAACTTCAATGAAACAGTGAACCGGCTTCCAGCTGCAATGCAGTGGTGGGGGGGCAGGGCGGGAGGGGCTGGTGAGCTCTAGCCAGACACACCCCCAGGGTGACCAGCCTAGGTGCTTGCAGTGAGCGTTGAGGGTCCACAGGGTGTAGGGTGATAGCGAAGGAGATTAAAGTCATCAAAGGAGGATTTCTCTCACAAATGCTTAAGACTCAGAAAAGGCACCACAAGGCCAGGAACACAGTCAGCCCACCTGTGGTGGCTCGATGACCTCACCTAGAGTCCTTGCAGGATCACTAAAGAACCCGCAGCCCCCAGCAGTGTGACTGGTTGAGCAGAAATGCCTACCTCCCAAGTTCTCCAGTCTTTCTGCTGGGCACCTACCCAGGACATCTCCTAATATAAGGACCAGGTGGCGCTAGTGGTAAAGAACCCTTCTGTCAATGCAGGTTAGACATAAGAGACATGGGTTTGATCCCTGGTTTGGGAAGATCCCCTGGAGGAGGGCATGGCAACCCATTCCAGTTTTCTTACCTGGAGAATCCCATGGACAGAGGAGCCTGGTGGGCTATAGTCCATGGGGTCATAAAGAATTGGACACGACGGAGCAACTTAACACACATGCAAGTACCATACAGTGAAACATGGAAGGAATGGGTCTATTCTGAAGATGGGAGTCATGAAGGAGACCGGGGAGGACTAAGGGTCCCTAACTGTCCAACATCACCTCGACGGTCGAGGCTTACGGACAGCACGACCTAGGATGTATTGTTCAAGTGAGAAAGCAGAGCAAAGTGCCCAGAAGGCAGCATGTGAGGCCTACCCTGGGTCCAGATCCTGAGCCTCCTGCTGGACAGATGGGCCAGGAGCCTGGCAAGGGGACAGGGGGCCGGAGGTGGAGGTTCAGGCTCGAGGGCAATGCACTTATGCCTACAGGGCTGAGTCAGACACCAGGAGGGAGAGCAGAGCCCCTTCCAAGGCCCTTCTAGACCATAGCTGGATTTCAAAAAGAGAGCTTTAAGATGAGGTCAAAGTGAAATTCTACAAACAGAACAGGAAGTTGAAAGCAATGTTTACATTGCAACAAATCCTTTCATAGATAAAGAGTCTGATGTCACTTAAACCCACTGAAGCAGGCTCTTACTGTTATCAAAAAGCTAAAATCATCCCCAGTGTCGCGGGGGTGGAGGGTGGGGACCTGTGAGGAGCGGCATGGCTTCTGTGGTAACTTGATACTCACGGGTTAGATTCAGAACGTGTTTCGTGCTGCTCTGAGGAGGATCCCAGCTGGAGCCAGAAGAGCTGGGGCACCAGGCTCGGACCTGAGCTTCAGGGAAAGCCTCCAGCCCAAGCCACTAGCCACCACGCATGACAGGACTGTCCCCAAGTGCCCTCTGGGCAGGGACATCTCCTGAGCGAGGACCTGAGGACCCTGGGGGTCCTTCCTTCAGCTGCTGGAGCTCATCCACCAAATGATGGCCCTGGAAACTCCTCACCTCACATTTCTCCTCTGAAGAGTCTTTTGTGGCAAACTTAGACTTGGTGACTCAGAAAAAAAGCCTTAAATGGTGACGTTAAAAAACTGACAAGCCAGGAGCCAGACATGTGATGACCGCCTAGGCTTGGCTGTTAGTCGTGGGCAGTGGACCCTGTCTGGGCCGCCTGGTGACACTGCAGCACCATTCTTGGATACAGCAGACCACAGCAGCACTGCCCGGAGCTGGACAGGGAGACCAGCCACCTAGACGAGGGCCAGAGTGTGTCCAGCCTTTTCACACACCAGTGACGGCAGGAAATGTCCCCATGCCAACCTCCGGGCCAGCAGAAAGCCACTCAGGGCTTCTTCCCCAACCAGCCTCTCTCTGATAAACAAGGCAATCAGAAGAGAAAATATCAACATTTAACTGTAAAAGGCCAAGTGTTAAATGTAAAGATGGATTCAAGAGCAGAAAACAGGGGCAAGGTTGCTCCTTCTTCCTATAAGTGATACACTGTAAACATTGGAAATTTTCACTCAACCTTTAACTGAAACAGAAAAGAGATCATAATTAAAACAAGCAGAATTTCTAGACAATTAAACTAGATAATGCAGTATGAACTGCAAAGGACCTCTACATATATATCTATACGCATAGACACATATAAACATATATACGTATATATGTGTAAAGTGTTGTCAGCAACTACCTCTCATTGGTGTGTGGTTTAACTTCCCACATAATGGAATACTGTAACCTGTTTTTAAAAAGATAAGGAAGGTTTCTGTGCACTGATACTGCAAATCTAGCAATAATAAAATAAGTACAATGGTGTGTACAATATGCTACTTCCAATGTAAACAGGAAAAAATAATATATTAGTTTCTTTGCATTCACAAATTCTTGAAAAACCCAAGAATAACTAACAGTGATTTTTGATCTGATAGGTTGGCCTCCAGGCAGATGAATGTCAAGGACAGCTGGAAGATACTCATGATATACATTTTTATACTTTTTGGTTTTTTAATCACTCCATTAAATTAGAAAATAAGGAACATCTTTTGAAAGACAGTGCTGAAAATGTATGGACATAATACCAATAAAGATACCTCTCAAAAAAAAAAAAAACAGACAATGAAGTAGAGGGCACACGTCCAGGGCCTGGGGTGGGGGCAGGGCCACCCTGCCACTGGGGCCTGGGCACACAGCAGGCATTCGGTTGCTAAGATTTCCCCAAATCTCACGCTTCACAATTCTCAGGGCTGCTCCCCCACTGCCTGTCACAGCCCTTCTGCAGATGCCCAGCCCCACCCAGCCCAACCTGCCACCTC